AGCCTTTTATATAGAAACACTTTTTCACAAGTTTATAATATTTCTTTTATTTATTTACGTGGATTTTTATTTTTGGTGGAACCTACAAATTAGTCTTATTGAAAAGTTTATTATAGCGAACATATTTTGATTTGTTTTTTATTTGTTGAATTGATGTTTCCTTTTAGTTTTAACTATTTGAGGGGTGGTTTTTATTTTATATATTTACTGCAATTCTTATTTCTTTCTAATAATACAATATATAATCATCTCCTTTATAACTTTAACATTTAGTTGCAATTTAGAAGTTAAGACACAAACATAAGCAGTATGAAACTAATTATAATTTTTCAAATTAGACAATGTTAGTATTGTGATTATTCTAAACAACTCCACCAAATCATATTAATATAACCTAACATTATCCATATTATTTAAATCGTTAGACTTTAGCACGTAAGGATGAATTTGATTTTTAATTCATTATACTACTAATTTACTAAACATTTAACACATAAAATACTAATTGCTGATCTACTAAACAATGATTGGTCTCCTAAATATATTAAACGTTAATCTTTTTAAGTATGAAACATATCTTTTATATCTACGATATAAGTTATCTACGGAGAGTCTAAGTTGTTGACCTTGCTTATAAAAACTAATTTGTTCCTATAATTACGTTTATTTAGTATTGTTTGGAACTTGATTTGTTAATTTTATATTGTCAACATGATGTGTATATGTGTATATATGTAATATGTATGTATGTGCATACATAAATATATACATATACACACCATGTTGATAATTTAAAATCAACAAATCAAGTCAATAATTCATACTAGAAAAAATTTGAAGCGCAATAACATAAACTCTTACTAAATACGTTATATCTTAAATAAAAGGTATGTTTCATATTATATGTGTGATATAGGTATATATATGGATGGTTTAAATGAAAATATTAAATAAAATGAAAACATGAATACCCTATTTTTATATTATTATTTTGCTATGAATTTGGTATATGTATAATATTATACTAAATTTTAATATGCATATTAACATATAATTATTCATATACTAGTTTATAACCCGTGGGAACCACGGTTACAAAATTAATTCAATTTTTATAGCAAAAATTCATAATTAGTAATCAATTATTTTAAATAAATAGTTTTAAATAACCTATTAATTAAGAGATATACCAAAATTTTAAAGTTAGTTATAACTTCAAACTTAACATATAATTAAAAAAGTAAATGTTTCCATGAAAAGTTTAAAATCAATTATTTAAAACTTTAACGTCATTAATTGTGATAGTAATTTGTCTAATTTATGACATAATATTAATATAGAGTAGTATTAGAATGACACATGACAAAAGAATATTAAAACTATTCTTTTATTAGTATAGGGATTCATTGTTGATTAATAACGTAAAAATAGTGTCTTAACATCTTCATTTTATATTGATTTGATCATATCCCTAGACACACACATACACATACACACAGGGGTGTATATATAT